TGTTCATAACCCAGATAAAAAAAAAGTTTAAACTGTAACTCAAGAAAATGAGTAAATTAACAATATTTACACTGAGGTATAGTTAACCCTAAACCTTAAACACGTCAGCCAAAATAATTGAAATTTTGTGAAAAATTTACAACTTCATTTCATTTTTTATCTTTCCGAAATGACTTAATTACTCCATTTGGCACTTAAAATATAGCATTTGGCACTTTGCACCCCCGAAAAATAATAATAGCACTTTGCACTCTCAAAAGGTAACTAATCATTCACATTGCACCCCAATTGTTTTAGCAAAATTCTCTAAATAAATTATTTGTTTGGTTGATCTTTAGTGAAATATATATATATATATATATATATATATATATATAATTTGTGGAAATTTTCAAGTAATTTAGTGAGAAAATGGTTGAATGGTGAGGAGAACTAAACAATTGAACTTGACACTTTCCACAAAAATATATACTATTGCAAAGATCGAAATACCATCGCACACATACAAAAATATTTATTTTATGTGTACAAAATATTTATTTTTTTACTTTTCCATCTTTCAACTATTTTTTCACCAAATTATATAAAAAATATTGTTTCATACAAAAAACATCATTAATTCTTTTATCAATCCCGAAAAAGTGGTACATAACCAATAAATTTATAATTTATTTATCAGAATTCTATTTTTGAATTATATTTATCACATAAAAGAAAAATGTCATTTATAAATGCTACTAAAACATGAAATTATCTTCATTAACCTTAAAATTTATGTTGGGGTGAACGTGATATTATTTTTTTTGTTGCGCTGTAAAGTGCCAAAATGCTACATCTCGAGGGTGCAAACTGGAACTAAACCTTCCAAAAATAATCAAAAAAATCCTCAATTATTGAAGAAAAAATATAATGGAAACTTATCAAATTTATCGGTTAGAATTGTAAGTATTGAAATCTCGAGAAACTGCCTCCAAATTAAAATTTGAGTCGAGCCTTATATTTGTTGTTGTCAACAAATACTTACGTGATCTAGAAAAATTGAAGTCAAATCAATCAATCAAGAAATGAATATATAAAATAACAAATGATTAATAAATAAGTTTTACATGTATTTTTCATAATAATTAGCGCAAATTATGAAAACCCCCTGCGGTAAAGCCTAATTAAAAAAAAAATCCCCTCATGTTTGTGTAGTTACAAAAATCCCCTTCTGACCAGCGTTGACCTTTGAAATTCACAGAAAATGTATCTTGTCCGTCTTACCCTTCTGTAATTTGAAAAACAATAAATGATAAATTACGAGAAACCCTTTGAAGTAATGTCTAATTAATAAAATCCCCTCATATTTGCTTAAGACGAAAACCCCTCAAGGTATGTTGCCATCTTACACAGGCCCCATGGCCCATATGGTGTTACTTTTGATGAATAAAATAATATTTTTTTATAATTTATTTATATTTAATATATACTTTTTGCATTTTATTTGTTTAAAATTGAAATATTATTAGAAATTTATTAAAAACTTATGAAAATATTTTTAACCTACAATAAGAAATACGGGAATATCTTTCCAAAATATGTGAAATCGATTTTATTGAACAAATAATTATAAAATTATAAACAAAACAAATACAAAACAAATAAAACTTTTAATGTTACAAGATATGTTAAATTATTTTATATATATTCTATATTTTTAATAATTATAAACTCAAGAAATACATTACAGTTTTAAAATTAAAAGTAACTACAGCTCTTTTTAAATATATTACATTTTGCCCCCTAAGTAATTAATATACTTACAATTACCCAACAAGGGCTAAAATGACCTTTTTAGATGAATATTCCATGGAATAAAAAAGATTCCGTTAGTAACATCGTATGGAGATTGTGTAAGACGATAACATACCTTAGGGGGGTTTTGGTAATCACGCAAATATGAGGGGATTTTTTAATTAGACCTCACCTCAGGGGTATTTTTGTAATTTGTATAATAACTATTAAATTCATTCTCGACATCGTGCATATCGGCATTGTTGCCCATTATTGAAACCGCAAAATGCGAAGAGCTATCTCTTGAAAAATCGATGTAAGATGCTATCTAGCCACCGGTGGTTCCTGTCTTATTCTCCACATTTTTTATGGTCGTAGGTGGTGGTGTCGTGGTTGATCATGGTGTAACCTTATTTTTGTATGTCTAGAGCATGAAATAGATTACAAAAACATATATTATTTGTGGTTTATGCCGTTTTATTCAAACAAAAATTGTTTGGGGTAGAATGTACATTAAAGACTTGAGACTATACAAATTCTCAGCTCAATAAAGTTGCTTATAATTAGATATTAATAAATACATTAGGAATTAGTTGAACAATCATTAGGAATCACATAGTTTTTCCTTATCAATAATTGAGTATTCCTGAATTATGGAAAACTTATTCAATGAAAGATTACAATTTATTTTTATAAATAAATTAAACAAATTATTTATTTATTTATATTACTCGTACTTCTAATCTTACATATTATAATAATTACTGATGGGCATAGATAAAATTATGAATTTCATAAACTATTTTTTATTAGTAAACATAGATACTCAAAATTCGGAGAGTGATAGAAATTCTTCAACTGATGAAATTTGAAACTAACTAATTAAATGAAGATTTTTTTTATTATATTTTAGATAATGATAAATGTTAAGATAATTAAAACTAATTTTAAAATGTCATGTTGGTATTATTTTTTTCGTTAATTCTATTGTACGTGCATCTAGATTTTTTTACATAAATTGACCTTATTAGTTTAAACTTGTCCCTATTATATTTGGCAATAGTTAATAATATAACTATTTAATGTCATAAGTTAATATTAATTTATAATAATTAACAATCTGTTTATATTACTCAATTGTCCTTCAAAGTTTGAACTTGCCAAAGGGTATTTTTGTCTCTTCCAAAAATGGAAGAAACAACCAAAGGATTCCTCCTTTTATAAGTAGTGTGTATATATATATATATATATATATATATATATATATATATATATATATATGACCGTGAGTATGTGCGTATATTAGTCAAGTTGGGGATTAATTAAGAGATTAAATTCTGAGCGGATCAGCCGATATTTAATATAAATCGGATTCCACTAATCTTTTGACATGTGGCACTCTTAAGTCATAACTCTTAATAAATCACGCTATTATAATTAGTATAATTAGGGTTAGACGGGTTACGGGTTATGCTGGGGTTTTTTTTTTCTTTTTCTGTTTCTTTTTTTCCAATTATTAGAATCTTAATTATATTTTTATTTAAACTATCCACGTGTCAATCATTCTATGGCATCCGATTTTTCTATTAAAACAGGCCATCCGGTCTAAATTTGCACCCATTAATTAAATAAATATTTATTTGGTAAATTGCATGTAAGTACACATGACAATTAATCCATTAGCAGAGTTTCTTCCATTGGCAGGTTAGGACCTCTTATGCATGATTTTCATACTCCAACAACTTATGGTCTGTGTCAAGATAGAATGTTTTACATGCTAAAAAAACATTAAAGATAAAATAGTCATGAAACAATAGCTAGCAATTCTACAGAGAGTTAAAACATGTTAGAAATGAAGAACATCTTTTTTCTTTGCTCCCAAAAGTTTCAGTTTATAGACAAGTATTTTGGACCACGTAAGAAAGCTGACCAGCTGACAACTTATTGATGAAAGAAAATGAACAAATAATTAAAGGCAAGACAACTAAAACCGATGTACTGGCAAACTTGAATTAACAATCCTAAGATGTTTACAAAAGAGTGTTATTTGTCCAAGAAATTCAAATTCAAATAACTGAAAATCAATGCACTAATTTTTTCAATTTTATCTTTTCCATATTAATATGTTGACTCTACTGAAAATAAATTGAATGAAAAAAAAAAACTTTTTATTCACCCGAGAAACAAATTTCCTAGAGTTGTACTACATTCGTTCAAGAGTTCCGCTGCTGAAGCTTTGTCATCGAAAGAGAGAGCAAAACTTGAATAAAAACAGGGGAAACATTATAACGATTGTATGAATAACTAATAGTATATTATCTTAATAATAAATCAAACCTTGTCGTGAAGAAGATAAGAAATTTGATGTTGTTTCCCTTACACATTTTGAACATAAACACGTCCATTAAAAAAATAAGTCAGAGCATTAAAACTATAGTATTCGTCTCCTAGTTCGGAGATGGTTATTCGACAAATAAAATGGAGCCAAAATAGAGATGAATGAAAATATTTTTTTTTAGAACATCAACTCATACAGTATTGGGCTAATATGATTGGAGATGGTTTATCAGAAAACAAAATAGAGACTAAATTTTTATTCATCGAACAAATGGAGATAACGTATGGCTGTTTTACGATTTATTTTTTTACTGCAGATAAATATAAGACTGATTTACTTAACAAATGATACGTAAGATTTTTGGAGATTTATAGCCATATGCTTTGAAAATCCTATCCGGCTAAATGTGCAATGAGTTCAAAGAAAAATACACCTTGCGGAAAATTTGATATTATAAAGATACGCAAGAATTTTATGCAACTAATTAGGGCAGCCAAACCTTCCTAGAATTACGTTGTAGAGATTCATCTCTATCTTTCTCAACTCACTTTAAACTAATCATTCATGAGAAAATCGATGATTGAGTAGATTTTTTATGTGAAAACAGCATAAAAAAAACAAAGAATGTGATTCTCGCTTAAAATCACCGGTGTTAATCAAATACCGGTAATGTACATGGCAGTATTCTCTTGAGACGGTTTTGCATAGAATGTGGAAAGCTGGGCTTTCAAAAGTTCCTTCTCAAACGGCTGTAAAGTAAAGTGAGAAGATTCCCAGTAATTTTGGAAAAGAAGGAGCCAATGCGTCGTTTTCTACTTTTCTTCTTTCTATTGCTTTTATAGTGAATTATTTGTTGGAGAAGATTCCCAATAATTGGCCATGCAAAGAAGGAGCCGATGCGTTTTCTACTTTTCTTCTTTTTATTTGTTCTATAGTGAATTATCTGTTGGAGAATGATTCCCAATAATTGCCCCTGCTTCAGACACGTTTTACTGAAGGAATTTTTTCTACCAATAAATTGATTTGTATTTAATACTAGGATAGCAGTTGGCCTATTTCTACCATAAACACACATATATTATTTACAGTTAATTACACACACACTAAGAAAACTGTTTGCAATCATGGTTGATGCTATCGTTTCCGTTGTGGTGGAGCGGCTCGCTGCTACCTTAGAAGAAAAGGTCCGGAAAGAAGTAAATCTGGTGAGAGGCGTTGAGGATGAGATTCGGAGTCTTTCCGATGATCTGAAGAAAGTTAGAAACGTGTTGGAAGATGCGGAGAAGAAGGGGTATAAGGACAAAAGCGTCAAAGATTGGCTGACTAGGCTCGAAAACACGACCTACGAAATGGACGACGTGTTGGACGAATGGAACTACTCCGTTCTCAAATTTCGGATCGAACAATCGTCTGATCTTGATGTTTATGTTCCTCCTAAGAAAAAGGTATGGTCCTCCTTCGTCCCATCTTCGTGTTTATGTTTCAAAAAAGTTCTCACTCGTCATGAAATTGCCTTGAAAATAGAACAAGTCAAAACACGACTCGATCTAATATTGGGTGAGCAAGTTCGATTCGGTTTTCATGAGATCAAATCTCAGCCCAATGAACCTTCTCACCAATCGTCAAGAGTTCAAACTACTTCTTTAATTGATTTAGAGGAAGTTTGTGCTCGTAAATTTGAGAGTGAAAATTTGGTGAGCAAATTAGTGGGTGGAGGTGGTGGGGGGGAAGAATTAGACGTATCTGTTTTATCTATAGTTGGTACTGGGGGTCTTGGGAAGACAACTCTTGCTAAACTAGCTTATAACGATACTCGAGTTGAGAAACATTTTGAGTTAAGAATTTGGATATGCGTTTCAGATCCCTTTAACGAGGTTGAGATTGCAAAAGGGATTGTTGTTGCGAGTGTGAAAAAGTTCGATAACCCCCCTAATACCAATTACCAACTGGAAATTCTACTACAAAGTCTAAAAGAGACTATTTCACTGGAAATGGTACTACAAAGTCTAAAAGAGAGTATTTCAGGGAAAAAATTTCTTCTCGTCCTGGATGATGTTTGGACGGAAGACAGTACCAAGTGGGAATCTCTGAGAATTTGTCTCAAAGGTGGTGGTTTGGGTAGTAGAATTTTGGTGACGACCAGAAATGAAAGGGTTGCTTTAATGATGGGTAGCGTTAAGAATGACATCCACCATTTAGGACATCTATCCCATGAAGAGTGTTGGTTATTGTTAAGTCGAATAGCGCTTTCTGGAAAGTGCGAGAAGGAACGTGAAAAATTCCAGAACATAGGTAGGGAGATAGCCAATAAGTGCAAGGGATTGCCACTTGCAGCGAAGACTTTGGGAAGTCTTTTGTGTTTTAAGAATAGTGTGGAAGCATGGGACAACGTATTGAATAGTGAAATATGGGAATTGGAGGAGGTAGAAGATGACCTCTTCCGTCATTTGCTTCTAAGTTACAAAGAATTGTCCCCAACGCTTCAGCGTTGTTTCTCATATTGCGCTGCCTTTCCTAAAGATACCGAAATTAGCGTGGCGGACATAATAAGAAGATGGTTTGCAATGGGTTACCTAGGATACGGTAGTGATTGGGAAGTTAGAGGGAGAGAGTATTTTGATAAGTTAGCAATGCGTTCTTTGTTTCAAGACTTTAGCAAAACATCAAATTTGGATGAGGAGTCGATAGCATCATTTAAGATGCATGATATAATACATGATTTTGCTCAATTTCTTAGAAACAATGTGGGGTCAAGAATGAAGGAAACAAATTGCCAAACATGTAGCCCTTTGTTAGTTTCCCAAGTCGAAAAATACCGTAGCTTATTTCTCACCAGAGAACTTTATGATCCACACTTTTGTGATGGCCTCACAAGTGTGAGGTTGCTAAGCCTAAGGAAATGTGGCTTGGAAGGTATTCCGGAAGAAATAGAAAAGTTAATTCACTTGAGGTGGTTGGATTTGAGTTGGAATTACTTTGGGGCCGAAAATGGTCTGAAGAGCATTTGTAAACTTTACAACTTGCAATTTCTTTTGGTGGGAGGGTGCAAGATAAAAGAGATTCCGCGTGAAATTGGGAATTTGATTCAATTGAAAGAATTGGACTTAAGCTCTAATACAGTTATAGAGGAGTTGCCGGAGAGCATGTGCAATTTGCGTGAATTAGAAAGCTTGAATATTAATTCATGCGTGGCTCTTGTTCGACTTCCCCAAGGGATCCACAGGCTCGTAAACCTCAAACACCTCTATAACGAAGGTACCAATTCTTTGAAGCAATACCCTCAAGGACTAGCCCAGTTAACTAACCTTGTCACATTGAAAAAATTTCATAATCAAGATGGGAGCAAGTTGGGGTGGTTGAAGAACTTAAACCAACTTAGCGATTCCCTGGATTTGACGATCAAATTAACTAGTGGTGATGATTCGGCGGAGGTGGAGGATGCTCGTGAAGTGGAGTTGAGGAAAAAGACGCGCATTCGTAACCTTGTAATATTTTTTAATGAATCAACAATGGGTGGTGAAGAAGTAATGAAAGAGGCATCGGCTTGGAATGACATACTAGATGCTCTTGAGCCACATCCAAACCTCCGAAAGCTGACTATTTGTGAGTATAAAGGCTCCCGACTTCCGAGATGGATAGCATCGCCCCTCAACCAACTCACATTTATTTTTCTCTACAATTGTGAATACCTTGCGTCGCTGCCGCCGCTGGGTAAACTGCCGCTACTGAAGACTCTTCGGATTAGTGGTTTATCTGAGTTGAAGTTTGTTGGACGTGAATTCCTCGGAATAACAACAACAACTACGACTAGTATTATTGGTGGATTTCCCAAATTGGAGGAACTGTTATTTGAGGACTGTCCAGAGTGGAAGGAGTGGGAGGACATTACTGCCGAAGAAGATTGTGACGGTGTCTCAATAATGCCTTGCCTGACAGAGCTGATAATCAACTGTTGCGACGGATTGACGGAGTTGCCGCAACGCCTCATGCGAAAGGTATTGTCATCATTGAAGTTGTTGGATATTTTTAGTTCAACACGATTGGAACAAGTCTACGGGGACAAGGAAGGTCAGCCCTGGAAATCCATTTCACGCAACAATCCACACCTCGAGCTCAAAGTTTTGATTAGTCCTATTTCTCTGTAACTTTAATTCTCTTCATTAAAACTACGTTTCTCTGTCTTTTTCGACCTTATTATATATGGTGGTGAATTTCATTTTTTATTGGCGGGGTGCGGTTTGCACTCTGTAACACAGTAGTATATCCAATTTCTATTATTATTTTTTATGTTAATAATAAAAATAATATGCATATATAAAATGCACATCAATAAATATGATCATTTTTAAAATAAAATTACATGAAAACTAATAAATCCTTGTGCAACTGGACCTATATTCAGCCACAAGCTTTGAAAATGAAGATTCTGTCTCCATTAGCTTCAAAGGCTCATCATACTCCACCACCTTCCCTGCAATAATTTTCAATAAATTTAATCCAAAATTAAATCTCATTATATTTTTTATATATAAAAACAAAAATTTCAATATTATTTTCACGGACGCATAATATTATGTCACTGTCTATGACAGTTGGAACGCTGTGTGCCACAGTTATTACGGTACGCTCGGCGAATTCTTGTCTGATTATCTTCTCTAATATCGAATCCGTCGATGAATCGATCGAAGCCGTTGCTTCGTCGAGAACCAATATTCGGTTCCTCTTAAGAAGCACTCTCCCTAGGCAGAACAGCTGCCTCTGCCCCATGCTCCAATTCTCCCCTTCGTCGCTCACTGTTTCCTCCACAAAAATCCCATTAAAAAAAAAAAAAAAAGAAATTCATCGATACTCGATTCGAACGATGACTTAGACTAACCTGAAGATTCGAGCAAGCTTGGGAGTTTGCTGATTGTATCTTTAAGTTGGCATTTCTCCAAGGCCCGATGAATAAAATCGAAAACCGGTTAATATAGTGCAGTTCGAAATTTCACCGTATCGTAAGGCGAAATAAATGTATGTACCTTCCATATTTGGTCGTCGGAGTATAGTCCTAATGGATCAAGATTTGTTCTAACACTTCCTCTAAAAAGAGTCTGTTCTTGAGGAATAATGCTGAGTTTCAACCTCAAATCCCGCAAGCCGATCGAGCAAATATCGATCCCATCTATTACAATTCTGCCACTGTAAGGCTCGACCAATCGAAACAATGCACTAATCAAAATCGTTTTCCCACTTCCGATGACCCCCACTCTCTTCCCTTCTTCGAAAGTGCACGTTATTCCCTTTAGCACTATCAGAGCATTAGGCCGATAACGTATCTGAAAAATGAAAAAAAAACATTATAAAACATAATAAAAATGCTATTTCTCTTCACCGATCGGATTTTATTATTATTACCTTTAGATCGAGCAACTCAATTCTGCCGTTTGTAGGCCATGATATTTGTGGTCGTTTATCTTCTATGATCGTTGGAGGCTCGGGCGGTATATTCATGTACTGTTTGATCCTTTCGACGGAGACTATATAATTAGCTAAGCTACTATACCATCTCGATAAAAACACTTGCGTGCCGAGAGAGAGTCCCACAAGCCCTGCTGTAATAACAGAATATATAATTTTAACACAACATCAAGAATCTGAAAATAAAAATAAAAATAGCAAGTGTTAGTTTAACTTATACCTGGAGCAATAGAGTTATTGGGAACCAAGATCAAGTAAATAGCGGCGGTGAAAAGGGTGAGATTTTGGAGCGATTCGGTTCTCAAGACGAGCCATTCCAGCGTGGCGTTTGACGAAAGAAACACTTTTGCGTCTTTATCAATGAGTTTGAGGAGAAGTTGTCAACTGCTTTAAACGCTCGTATTGTGGTGACTCCGAGTGCTGTTTCGGAAGTGTTAAGTGTATATTTTTACACTTTATCGTATCTTTTTATTTGAGCTTTTGGTGTGTTTTAATGATAATTGGTGCTTAAAAAGTTGATTTATTGTATTTTAGGTACAAATTGAAGAATTGGAAAAGTATGGGGTCAAAACTGCAAATTTGGAGAAAATATGGGCCAAAAGTGAAAAAAACGAAATCTGGAGATTTAAAGCTCGGACGGCCGTCCGAGTTTTAGTTCAAATTATGGGACGGCCGTCCGAGACCCCGAAACAGCGCAGTAAAGGGATTTTAATTGCACAAGGAAACTGCCTTCTTCCCCAAGTTCTTCACCCTATATAAGACCAATCCAAGCACACAATTGAGGATCTTTTTACACAATTTGGAGAGCAACAAACCAATAACGAAGACGAAGAATTCGAAGACTCTAAGCATAGATTTATCGTCTATGATTTATTTTATTTGCGTTTTTCCTTTAATCATGAGTAGCTAAATTACTTGTTTCTAGGATTTTATTTGGAACCCTATGTGGGATTTATGAACCCAATTCTATGATTTTATGCAAGTTTTAATTCCGGATTATTTCTTCTACTTGTTTTATTAAGTGCATGAACTTGATCACCTTATGTGCTTTTATGTTATTGTTAATCGCATGAATCGGAAGATCGGGTTAATAATTAGAACTGTGGTAGAAGAGCCTTTGTGGTATTAACATAGGAATATAGTTAATCTCTTAGGTAGCCATTATTGAGATTTGTGTTTAATGTTGTGTTCTAGAATTAATTGCATAGGAATATAGTAATTGAATCTAGAGTATTAGAATCGTAATACACGCGGAAGCGGGTTATGATTATTTTAGCATCTCAGGTTAATAATCCGGGTTAATTGCTTGCATAATTGAAGGAATTGGGGGAGTAATAATCACATAGGGGGAAGAATAAAATCCTAGGCTTGTTTACTCTGATTAAACCTTCGTTTTTTATTGCTTTCGTGTTCTTGTCTTTTTAATTTGCTTTTTAATTTAGTTTAATTTACTTAATTCTCTCTAAAATTCGACTGTGTAGGGTGGACTTGATAATAATTGGTAGAATTTAGCGTCTAGGATTAGTAATTAAATATTTCCTGTGGGTTCGATATCCGGACTTTTAGTCCACTATATTACTTGTACGATACGTGCACTTGCGTGTAGGTTTTCGACCAACAAGTTTTTGGCGCCGTTGCTGGGGAATATTTTAATTATTTATTTTATTCTAGCTCTATATTTGAACAATTTTCACGATTCACCCATTTAATTTTTGTTTTATTTTATTTTTGTTTTAGGTACGGTGTATGCCTAGGAGACTCGATCTTGCTAGAGAACCGTTTGATCCCGAAATCGAACGCACTTTTCGAGCCGCTAGGAGACGTCAACACGCAACCAATACAATGGAGGACGAAGAACGCATACGCGCAGAGGGTAATTTAATCAATGCCAATGGAAACCAAGTCCAAGACCCACCCCCTCAACTTCCGTTACAGCCAGCAGCTAGGCCACGGGCACTTCAAGATTACATAATCCCGACTCATGACGGATTCCGCCCTAGCATCCAATATCCACCTATTGAGGCGCACAATTTTGAGATCAAGCAAGGCCTATTGACGATGCTCCAAAATAACGGGTTGTTTAGTGGATTGGCGGGTGAAGACCCCCATCTTCACATTGTCAATTTTCTAGATACCTGTAATTCTCACCGTCAAAACGGCGTTTCCCAAGAGGCGCTTCAATTAATTCTCTTCAAGCACTCCCTACAAGGAAGAGCTCGCCAATGGTTGATGTCCCAAGCTCCCCATTCTATCTCGTCGTGGTCTCAACTCCTCAACCTCTTCATGAAAGTTTACAGCTCACCCGAGAAGGACGAGAGAATCCGACGAGAAATTCACAATTTTGTCCAAGAGCAAGGCGAGCAATTATACGAGGCATGGGAGAGATTTAAAACTCTTTTGCGGCAGTGTCCAACACATGGAGTCGAACAATGGCGGCAAATTCACATCTTCTACCAAGGGATTAACGAGAATGCACGAACGGTCTTAGATGCATCAACCGGGGGGAATTTTATGAGTCAATCGATACCGGATGCATTTATCATGTTAGATCAAATTGCTCAAAATCGGTTTGCCAAGTCAAGCGAGAGGACGGTTAGTGGATCCAAGAAAGTTCCCGGAGTGTTGGAGTTAGATGCAATTACGGCTCTTCAAGCTCAAGTGACCCAAATTGCTCAACAAAATCAACTCCTTCTGCAGCATATCAAAGCAAGTCCACCACAACAAGTCCAAGCCGTTGAGTCTCCATGTTGTGAAATTTGCGGTGGAAATCACTACACGCTCCAATGCCAACAAGATGCGGAGTCGCTCAACTACGTCAATAACGCGCCTCGCCAATTTCAAAATCAAGGGTGGAGATCACAAGGGCAATATGGAGGAAATCAACAAGGCCAAGGATATCAAAGACCTCAAGGTCAATTCCAAAATCAAGCCCCTCCTCAACAAAGCTATCAAGGCAACAATCCACCGGCCCAAAAATCAAGCACGGAGGAGATATTGGCCCAATTCATGACTGCTACCCAAGCCTCGCTGCGGAACTTGGAGAATCAATTCGCCCAATTTGCTTTGAATCAAGAGAAACGCCCGCCGGGAGCATTGCCATCGAATACGGAAGATCCTCGAAATCAAAAGTTTGAGACGTGCCAAGCTATCGATGTCAAGATCGAAAAAAGGGAAGAAATTCAAATAAAGCCGCAAGTCACTGTAGCCGAATGGGTCGAGCCAATCCCATATCCACAAAGATTGCTAACGAAAAAGATCGAGGTCGAGACGTGCCAAGCAGTCACCTTGAAGAACGGTAAGCAATTGGAGGAAGCCCCACGAAAAGAGAAGAGAAACACGGTAATCGAGAAGCCAAAAGTAAATGAGGAAAAAGAATCAACTCATGAAGAGCCACCATCAACGGTGCCTTCACAAGCCCATCCAATTCCTTATCCTCAAAAGTTTATAATGAAGAAGCTCGATGCCGAATATCAAAGATTTTTGGACAAGTTGAAGGAAATTCGCATAAATATTCCTTTCATTGAAGCACTTCAAAAGATGCCAAAGTGGGTGAAGTTCCTCAAGGACCTCGTGAAGAAAAGTAAGAAATTGCAAGGGAACGAGATGATCCAACTCACGGAGCAAATTAGTGCAATTCTTACTCGGCCTCTTCCACAAAAACTCGGCGATCCAGGTAAGTTTACTATTCCTTGTACTATAGGAGGTAAAAATTTTAGATCGCTCATTGATTTAGGTGCTAGCATTAATCTTATGCCGTACTCTACTTTTAAAAATCTTGGGTTAGGAGAAATTGAACCGACGGCTATAACTCTTCAATTAGCCGATAGATCTTTAGTTTACCCAAAAGGTATTTTAGAGAATGTGCTAGTGAAAGTCAATAAATTTATCTTCCCTGTCGATTTCGTGATACTAGATATAGATGAGGATAGGGAGATACCTCTTATCGTAGGGAGGCCGTTTTTAGCCACGTCGAAGACGCTAATTGATTGTGCTAGTGGTGATCTTACAATGACTGTGCATGACCAAACAATCAAATTCAATGTTTTTAGTGCTAATAAAAATCCATGTGATAATAATGATTGTTTTGCTATTGAGCTTATGGATTTTACAAATAATGAAAAGTTTGATGTTTTGATCTTGGACAATGGGAAAGCATCTTTGAGTGCAGGAGATGATGGCGGAAACGGGAATCGGACGGAGCAAGTTTACTTCATGGACTCAATTTCAACTCCTCCGAGAGAAAGTCATACGAGTCGAGGTCTTAACGACGATGAGAATGCAAGGAAGATGTTGCCACCCAAAGGCTCGAGCAAGTCACGAGAGAAGGATGAGTCAAGCTATTGTGGTCGTAAGGAGAAAATCAAAGAGGAATTGCACAAAGGACAATTGGTGTTATTGTGCAAATCCCGTCTTTGGTTATTTCCAAGGAAGCGCAAATCAAAGTGGTCGCGGCCGTTTATTGTCCAAGAAATTCTTCCTCACGAGGTGGTCAAAATAAAGGAGCGAGAGTCAAATCGTACGTTCAACGTGAAGCGGAGCCGGCTCAAACCGTTTTGGGAAGCGAGTGAAGATTGCCAAGTGACTTCGGTCACTTTTGCTTGAAAATAAAGAAGCAACGTCCGGCTGAAGACTTTAAACTTAGCGCTTCTCGGGAGGCAACCCGAGCTTTCGTTTTTCTTATTTTATGTTAATTTTTAGTTTGTTTTTATTTTATTTTTCTGAAAAAAAAAAAAAAAAAAAGTTTATGGGCACTAATTAGAAGTTTTTATTTTTCAGGGACCCAATTGCAATTATTCACACGGCCGTGCAAGAAAGAGGCAGAAATCTCACACGGCCGTGTGAGATTTCGGGGAAGCTACTGCCCAAATTCACCAAATGGCACGGCCGTGCGGATTTTAGGCCATAATTTCGCACGGCCGTGCGGGAAAAAAAAAAAAAAAAAACAATTTCCATAATTTCAAATCCTCTCTCTCCCCCACTTCGAACCCTAGCCTTCCTTTTACGAAATTTTCCCTTTTCTTTGACAAATTTCACCGAAAATTTACCAACTACACACATATAATATGTAATCAAGGTGGTTTGTTGTTGATTTGCGCCGGTACCCGAGCTTTCGGATGATGAAGAAGATGGTGACGCTCATGCGCAAGGTGGAGTTGGTGAGCAACCCGACGATGGTCCCGACGCTTAAACAGGTGTTTTCTATCCTTAAACTCCGGGCGAATCACATTGAGGGCAATGTGAATTTGAAGTTTGGGGGTGGTTAACTATTGTTTTCTTTTATGTGCGCCCTATTTATGTTTTACTTTTTTTTTCTCTTTGTTAGTTGCATGCTTTTGTTTTAGTTATCGTTTT